TATATAACACCTAGAGATCATTCTGTATCAATACAAGTCATTCTTTTTTATGGCTGTATAGTATTCCACTGTGGTGTATACACCATACTTTATGTAACTAGCTACCTATGGACTGATATTTAGGTTGTTTCCTAAATTGTTACAGCAAAAAACATCACAGGCCCCATTTTCAGCAAGCAAAACTAAAGGCGTTTTGGGGTTGTTTTTTTTTAACTGACAATATTGAGACTAGTCATATAAATAAATTTTGGGGAAAGGCACAAGAGACTAGCAGCTTGTGATTGTTTAAAATGGAATTGACAGAGAGAAAATATAATGATATAAAATATTTATATAGCTGTTTTAATTTAGATTCTACTTAAAATGGGCAAATACTGCTGGTGCAAACTACCTTACCTTGTTACCATGTTACTGAAGACCCTGCATAATAAAAGTATCAGAAGCCCTCCTGGGTATAACCCCCAAGCTGCTCACGAAATCAACACAAGTTTCCTGAGCCCCACGCTGGGATCCTATGACATCTGTCTGATGCCACCCTTCTATTGGGATGCATACAATGAAGGTAATTTGCCACAGGTAATTTTAGTTGTGTAAACCCAAAGAACAAATTTAATCTAAAAAGCCAATTTGTTGAGTTACATCTAATGAAGTGTCCCTACCATTAATGAGCTTTCCTCCGAGCGAACAAGGTGGTGCCTAACCAACTCCAACATGAAAAAGGACCCCAGTGGCTCTGTTATAACCGTCATGTTCCCATGACTTACAGTATTGTGTTCTCGTGGGGTACTGCTGAAGGATATTCAAACCATCAGCAGTGTCTCCTCTGTAATATTCTCAGACATACTCTAAGGGCCCAGGAAATGTTTCTCAACCTCCAAGACATGGCGGTTAAAAAAAATATCAGCTGCAGGAGTTTCCAGGAATGTGAGCAAGAACTGTGAGCCCCTCCAATGGCAGGCACGGCCATTCCCTCTTTCATGAACTTACCAGCAAAGTCCCAAATCCACAAGAATATAACACGACTGCCTTTTTCAAAGTTAAATGATAGGACAACCGACACAATGCGCTTTACGGCAAGAAAGCACTTATGTCCTTGCTGGAATGTTGAGGTAAGCGTGTGTGAATGAAGGCTACGTATTTGATTTTGGTTTCTTTTTCAGTTAATTAAACCTATTGACATAAACCACCTATGATGTAGACTATCCCAATGAGAGAACGGAAAAAGGCCTTTTAATCAAAATGAGTAATATCTGTGATTATTTAGGTCATCATTTATATAACACAAGTTCACATCTCTACCTGGACAAGTGTATCACCTGGATAAACAGATGAGGACAAAAAAAATCAATCCTGAGCCTGACACCATTCTGAGTAGGAGTGTATTTCATGTGGTCAATTATCACTTCTTTTAGCAATAAGGTTCTAGGCCTGGACCAGGTCCTGGAAATTATCTGTTCAATTTACTATTCCATTTTCTCCAAACAAAACAATCTGGCAACACAACATCTATAAATCTCCTTTACACTTTTTAAACCAGCTTTTACTTTAATAATAATTGCATAAAGAACTAATTTTAGGTCACACTTCCTGAAATGGGGACTCATCGCAGCCATGGGGTTTTTCTGAACAAAACAGGGCAGGGTCTGCTGAGGGCTGGGACGTTTGGCAGGGCCTGCAGCACGAAGCCGGATGGCTTTAGCTTCTAAACCTATCGATTATATTAATAAAATGGCCTTGTCTGTTCTGTCCAAAGGTTTGGGGCAGTGTCAGAGTATTCTATGATTTTGAGTTTGCATGTCATTCACTTTCCTCAGTGAGTAAAGACATCAAGGGGCTCATGGTGTCAATTCCTGGCCTGCACCCTCTGAGGTAATACAGCTGAGCCCCAGGAAAGCAGGAGCAGTGGTCCCCAAGAAGGAGCCAAGAGCACAGGCAGGGCCCAGTTCAGTCATGGCTCAGAACTCAGATGCTATTTCTGACTCTGACACCATCCAGTTATTTGCCCTTCATGTCCTGACACTTTCCCAGCCATATATATATATATATAAATAATTGTCACAATTAAACGTATGAAATAGTTTAAAAGGTTATCAGGAGGAGAAGAAATATAAAAGCCTCCAGCCTTTAATGCCTGTCACAGTGGTTCTGCACACACTCTCCCATAAAGCCCTAGAAAACCACACTCTATTTCAAGTTCATTTTCTAAAGATACTCCATTTATGTTTCCATTTACCATAATCACTTTAATAGTGTTTTCTTTTCCACTTCACAAATTTCCATTTTGCCAAGATTCCTTCTAATTATTCTTTCTACATATTTGGAAAGGAAGGGGGTTCTAGAAAGCTGCACGCTTTTGTCAGATCTCTAGTTGAGGTAGGAGGGGAGGGTCAGAGCTGCTTCTCTGAAGTAAATGTGATTTCAGCGCTAGCATTTAAGGCAGGAGACCCCGCCTCTATAAAGGGCAGGTGGTGACAGAAGCAGCCCATACTGATTCACTATACAAAGCTGCACAACCCCTCGGCCAGAAAGAACCCCATCCAGCATTACAGGAGGACCCACTCTGGGTCCTGTCAAATGTTACAAGGCCCTAAACAAGGGGCCACTCCAGAAGCACAGCAGAAATCAGCAGCATGACTTAAAATTTAAATATTCAGACGTTCAACCCTCTTTAAAAGGCATTTAAAAAATGTTTCTGCTGGAGTTTACACTGACAGTAGGGGAGCTCCCTGGACCCAGAAGCCACTCGTGGTGGTGGCTGACTCTTCAGCAGAGTGACCACTGAATGATCCTTTGCTCTTGAAAGAATCCTAAAACTTCAAGGTTGCCAAGTGACCAGGAACACGTTTCAACGACTCACAAAACATTTTTAAAAAATTAATCAAAGCAAGAAGTATGTAAGTAGGAGAGTGTTAATTCTAAGGGTCCTGCATGTGCTATGATCAATGACCAGATGTCTTGGAAGTCCATTTGGGGCCCTAATGTTCTCATAACTTGCATAACCGGGTGTCTAACTCACAGTGGGCAGCCCTTTGATTCTCCACCCACGAACCTCAGCTTAG